GAACAAAGCAAGATTATACATTAGCATAAATGTCTGTAAAACCACGAAGAACACATCAAACTAGTCACTCTACTCGGTTTCACCATTACCGACAAGTTCAAAGACACAGATTTCAGTGATTTGATTTAGCGTCAGCTAGTTTTTTTCGTTCAGTGATGAAATAAATCAGTAGTAATACATCAAAATTTTACCAGATATGGAATCAATCTAAAAAAACCAGATCCATGAAAATGAGTATCCCAAAACTGGAATACAAATTACCAGACGAACAAAACAGATTGATACCATTTCAACAACAAAAATAGCAAGAAATCACCAAAGACGAATATAATTACACANGAACAAATCAATACAAATGATAGATCCACGAACCAGGGGATTTCACGCTACGAGAAAATCCGATAAGCGGAAATTAGTACCCAAAAAACAATCCTGAAGAAATCGAAGAAGAGGAAGATGACAAAAAGCATACGTACCTTGAATCAACGATTTCGAATAAACGATGTTCGGATCTAGAAATCTCAGATCCGAGAAAATTCGTGTGTTCGAATAGCTTTCTTCGTGAGCTCGAAGCTGAAAATTTTACTAAACGGAGAGCTTCGAAGTGTTATTATCAATCAAACATCACGTCACCAAAACGAAAAAGAAAAAAGAGTGCGATACACCCAAAACGTCGGCGTTTTAATTATGCACATTTAACTAACAATAGACTTCTTGCCGTTTTGCCGACACTAGCAAGTTGCAAAAAACACCATGCACTGTACAAACGACTAAGAGTGTTTACTCCTTTGTTTCTTCTTCTTCTTCCCTTTATCTTTTTTGGCTTTCGCTTTCTCTGTCAAATCGTGTACTCCTCTTCTCTTATACATCTTAAAACTCATATCTCTCTCAGCTGCCATATTCCTCACCTTCTCCGTAATCTCTGCGGCGAATTCTCTATTATACAGTTTCTTCAGACCTTTCATAAGTTTAGCGAATGTGTCCGGTTGTGGCATGAAGTCCATCTCCATCATTTCGAGACAATAAGAACACGCTTCCTTTACATGACCTTTCGAGAACAATGCGTGGATCCATATTGTCCAAGACGATTTATTCAGCTCGCAAATGCCTTTACTTGTGATGCAACTCCAAACATCTTTCGCCATTTCGAGCTTCTCGGCTCTTAAAAGAGCATTTAGTAATGACTTCAGAGTACCGTATTGAGGAACAGAGAACAGTCCTCGACTTACCATTTCTTTGAAGTGTTCGCAGGCTTCGAGTAGAGTACCTTGGCTTGTTAATCCATTGATCATAATAACATATGTATCGACTCCCGGACTCAAACCGTTTGCTTCCATTTCGTTCCATAATTGAACAGCTTCCTTTACTTCTCCCAATTTACAAGCCAATCTAATGACGACATTGTAAACGCCAAGATCAAGATGATAACCTATCTCCTTCATCTTCTCCATCAACTCCAAACATTCTTCGATTTTTTCTTTCTTCTCATGAGCCGCCATGATATGCATATAGGTAAGCTGAGACGGCATTAGCCCTTTCTTTATCATATCGTCTAACACGCTATAACACTTATCGATCTTTCCCCATTTACAAAACCCACAAACCAACGCAGTGTAAGTCACAACATCTGCCTCACACTCATACCTCTCCATCTCGATAAATACCCTCATTGCCTCCTCCATTCTATCTACCTTACACAATGCCTGGATCAAAACCGTGTAACAATTCGCATTCGGTTCGAACCCTCTTCTTCTCATATCTTTCAAAAGATCATAAGCATCTGCAATTTTACCAGCATGAGCATAACCACTTACCAAGTTAGTGTAAACAACAATGTCTGGCTCAAACCCAGCTTCTTTCATCTGAACCAATACATGTTTAGCTTCCATCATCTTCCCTTCCCTGCACCAACCATACAACAACGAAGTAAAATACCTCAAATTCGACGGAAACCGCAATCTCATATCCTCGAAAAGCTTCGCAGCATCCTTAACGTTACCGTTCTTACACAACGCATCAAGCAAACACCCGAAAACATACTCGTCCGGCTCTAAACCGAACTTAGGCATTTCGTCGAGCACCTCAATTGCTTTCTTCACCATATTCGCAGACGCAAATCTCCGCACAAGAACAACAAACAATTCAGGTTCAATTAACTGTGGATTCTCCTTCCTCATCTCTTCGATTAAAGCCCAAACAGCTCCAAATTGCCGCATTTTACTTAGAATCTTCACCATTGATTTATACACTTCGTAGCTGTGACAATACCCAGGTCGTTTCGCAGCCCAGACGAAGAATCTGTAACCTAGATTCCCAGCATCACCGCAACGATTCAGGACCCGTTCGATTAACCCGGGTCGGAGTTCAACACCGGATTCGTCAAGCGCGAGTTCCAACTTCGGAACCCTAGAATGAAATTTCCGCAGGATTCTGTATGCTTTCTCGACGTCGCTCGCGAATTCATCGTACTTGGAGCTTTTTGTACGCTCGTTGTTGCTCTTCTCGAGACAAACTAAACCAATCCCGTTACTTCTCCGGAAATTACCTTCGAGAACTCTAGAAACGTGGAAACTTCTGTGAATCAAGTAAAACCCAGACTTGAATTGCGAAGATGCTAAGACGAATTGGCGTTTCCTGAGAAAAATCTCGACTATGGGAGAGAATCTACGCATTTCGTAAACATAATAAATTTTTGGAAGATTTTCTTCCCACTTTCTCGCATTTTCTCGGCCACCAGAAAGAAATCAGATTCAAAACGTTGCCGTTTGGATAAAAGAAGAACATAACAAATCGATAATACGGAAATAGTCGAGATTATAAATTACTATCTAGAAGCATCAAGATGTGGAAAGAACACCAGACGCGAATGATACATTATACAATTATTAATTTTTTTTCTTCTTATGTTTGTAAAATTCCAGCACCATGTCCATATAATCTAAATTTGGAAAAGAAAATGTAACAAGAAATAATAATACAAAGAGGGGTACGTCTCAAACTTTAGAACCCCACCACAAAGAAACTAATACAGCAAAATGATTCACCAAATGTGGCAAATGGCAAAAGACCGTTAATCAAAGGAATCACAAACATAATCACCCCAACGAAGAAACTGCATGCCCAATACGGAACCCTAATGTTACAACGGCTCGGTTTGGTCTCTTGAGTCACAGTTACTAGACCATTGATCAAACCATACACATCCAGAGCGAAGAAATTTGCAACTAATTGCAAAAGGCAATACATTTTCCAAAGAAATAGCCAGAGTTTGCCGTTTCCGCCCAACGTGTCCATGCAAAACTTACCCACGAAGCCGCAAAAAACACCGAGGAAAAGAAGGCTGCAAGTAACCGGCATTGTCCGCTTCGTAACTGATGAGTGTCGGATTATGAATTAAGTGAAAACCATGATCATCAAGACACCCAAGATTGTCTGAATCCGAACTTGAAGATGGCAATACAAGATGCTAAACTTTGTGTTTAGCCACGAGAATATTCCATGAACCGACCAAAGAGAAGTTTTTTCCTCGGGCGGCTTGCATATTGAAGTAGCTTACTTGATTCCCTATTTTGAGAAGGCGTAAGCGCCATATGACATAGCACCAAGCATGATGAAAACGTTAAGGATGAGTCAGTCCATCATTTTTGTAACCATCTTGGTTTTTCTTCGATCTTCTAATTCGGTTTTGAATTTCTCGGCTCTGAATGCAGCTTCCGAAACACTCATCTCTAGCTTGGATTTCTCCAAATTGTTTGACTCGTAGCTTAGCACTAGCTCCGTCTCTTTCAACCTTAGTTTTCTCATTGTAAGACCAATCTCCACGCTTTTTAGGTCGTTTGCGCGTGCTTACTCTTCTAAAGACCGTTTGATTGTGATCAAGGACATTGCTGAGCTTCTAATGACACTAGAGAGTTGTCGAGTCTCTTCGTGTAGGACAATCTCATTCATCGAAGAGGTTTTACTTGCACCTCCTTGAATCGCTTCATAAACAGACGTAGCAGATGAAGTTTCCTTTGTAGATAGCTCGGTGTCGGTGTCTAAGCATTCTCTATTGTAGAACGGTCTACATTATTATTGTCTAACTGATGCGGGAATGTGGATTCACTAGTCAATTTAAGGATCTTTAGAGTACTCTTAAAAGATCTCTCAAAGTTGGTCGCAACAGAACCAAGCTTATCACCATACACCTGTAAATCACATCCTTACCATTACGATTACAAAAAAAAAAAAGTCTACAAATTTGAAGAAATCGAAAAATTCGGTTTGGCTTACATTGGCTAAAGATTCTTCAACAGCGGAAGCAGAAATCTGCAAAAATTGTGTATCATTACTAAATTCAGAAAAGTTAAAATTTAAAAGAAATCATTTGAAAATTCATAGTACTTACTATTGCAAGATCATCGACATAAAAATTCTGATTCGCGCCACTTCTCTCAAGAACCTAAAGAACAAGAAAGAAAGAAAAAGTGTATAAATTACAAAGCAATGCAAGTCAATGACTTCTTCTTTTTTTGTAGCTAACCAGCATATTGAGTCAGGTTGAAATTTGGTGAAAATCACAATCCAAGCTACAAATTTGTGTGTCGAAAGGCCAAAGCTTTACGCTCTATAGAATGTCTCTGATTCGGATTTGAACAGTTGACCTTCTCTCAAATCCAGAGTAGATTCAAGTATTGCTTCATTGAAGCTCACTCATACATCTTGTATTTGATTGACTCTGATTCGAATTTGAAGAGAAGATCATCTCTTTGATTTAGTGTGAATTCAAGTATTGTTTTATTTGTTATAGATCCATCCTTTAAAGAAGAAATTCATATTCAATCTTCTGTCTTTGATTCAGATTTGAACAAAAGATCCTCTCCTCAAGAAAGTCTAAATTAAAAGATTTAGGTCAAATACAAACTTGAAACATATAAACCCTAGATTTCTAAGCGAGATCAACTAAAGAAATAAAAGTGAAACAAACCCTTATCAAGAAAGGATAAATCAAAGGCCAATTTCGTATCAGAAAAAGCATAGACAGAGCCATAGTGAGATAAAGAGTGGAAATTGAACGAACCAGATTGGTAAAAGCAGCGAATGAAATTCCAAGAGGAAGTGCCAACGCTTCTGCTTGTCGTTCTCCAACGCGTCTTCGAGACATACCTAACCGAACCGTAGGGTTTCGCAGTCTATGGACCACTCGTGAAACCC